TCTCTCTTTCTTTCTTTCTCTCTTTCTCTCTCTCTCTCTCTCGCTCATTTTCTTTTCCTCTCTTTCTCTCTCTCTCTCTCTCTCTCTCTCTCTCTCTCTCTCTCTCTTTCATAAGGTTCCAACGTTTTTAAATGCATGCTGCACAAGTGTCTCTTTATTAATAAACAAATGGGGGGCTGGAAATGAACATTTTGCTGCTGTCTTTCTCTCAATCGCTTACTCAGATAAGATGTTTTTGTGTTTGTTTAGAATTGCACAAGATATGTTCTGGAAGCTGGATAAAGGTGGCTTCCTAAAGCGTGATATTGTTGAGCAGCTGCTATGTGAGAATTGCAACAGGTAAGTGTGAAACAAAAATCAAAACAGAGGATACACGAGAACCGCGTTAAAGATTCCGTAAACTCAGCTAACGCATTTTTCAATCCCTCTGCATTGTGCTTGCAGGTTCCTGGCAGATAGATTCGTCGAGGGAACGTGTCCTCTGTGTTTCTATGAGGATGCGAGGGGTGACCAGTGCGACAAATGTGGAAAATTGATCAACGCCACAGAGTTAATAGACCCACGGTGCAAAGTCTGCAGCGCAAAGCCTGTAGTGAAAACGTCTGAACATCTATTCCTAGATTTGCCAAAGGTATGGCACAACCTATGCTTGCAATCGGTTTTTTGTCAGGGAGTACTCGCTCTCTTGTTAATGTTTTCTCAAGTGTTGGTTTTGAATGTGCATTTTCCACAAAGCTTGCAATTATACTTACATAGCTTATATTTGCTGTAGTGGTTTTCTCAAGTGTGTTAGTTTTGAAAGTGAACTTTTGACATAGCTTGCAATATAACATGAGCTTGTAGTTGCTGTAGTGACAAAGTATAAGCCACTGTAGTGTCGAGTGCTATGTGACAATGTTGCGTTGCATTGCTTACATCTGTTTTTTTCCCCTGCAGGTGGAGCCAGCGTTGGTGAAGTGGTTTGACCAGGTCTTCGCAGAGGGTGATTGGACGAGCAATGCCATTGGTATCGCGCGAGCGTGGGTGCGAGACGGTCTCAAGCCCCGCTGCATTACCAGAGACCTCAAGTGGGGGACGCCGGTACCGATGGAAGGATTCACAGACAAAGTAAGAAGTATATAATATTTATGAGATACGCTGGATCAAGTATTTAATTGATCAGATGGTGTGGCACCTTTCACGAAATTAATGAAAAAAAGCTGTGCTTATTGTTATGATAGCTTGCTGACACCACAGGTCAGGGGAGGTGGCCAGGTTTTGGTTGTTAATCATGTGTAATAGGATCCGATCATTTCAGGTTTTCTATGTGTGGTATGATGCTCCCATCGGCTACATCTCTATCACTGCAAACTACACAGACGAGTGGGAGAGATGGTGGAAAAACCCGGAACAGGTATGATTCGCAAAGTTTGACACAAGCGTCGATTCAAAAACACGATACGAACAACTGCCAGTCTCCCACATATAATAAACTCATGAATACAAACAAGTGCATTTTAATACAAAACATTGCCTGATAATTAGTACGCCATCCTTGCAAAAATTATCGATCTGTTGTTATTGTTCTAACTAATCTGCTAAATTTATCAATCAATTCTTGAAACAATCTGCTGAATTTATCAATCAGTTCTTCTAACAATTGGCGGAATTTAACAATCAATTCTTCTAACAATCTGCTGA